TTTGTGTCTGGTGTTATGCCTGTGGATACTGTCACAACTATCAAGAAAGCATTTTAGGCCAAGGTTAATATTGGAATTTAAGGTCCTGTAGATATAGATTGCACAGTAGTAAGCGTGGATGTTCTGAACAGGGAGTAAGTTTAGATCTATGAAGAGTGGGGGGGGGGTGTTGCCAGGGATGGGATTTAGTGATTATTCTTACTGCGGTTTTTTGTTGGGTTATTATTGGCTTTAGGTGTGTTGCTGCAGTTGAACCCCAAGCACAGATAGCATAGGTGAGGTATGGATATATAAGTGAATGGTATAGTGTGAGAAGGGCAGTTTGTGGCACGTAGTATCATATCTTGGAGAGGATCCCAACCGTTTTGGATACTTTTTTTATGTGTTGGATATGGGTGCTGAAATTTAGGTTGTTGTCGAGGTATAGGCCAAGGAATTTCCCCTCATTATGTCTGGCAATTAGAGTGTTGTCAATCTTAATGTTAAATTGCGCAACACCTGCTCTGCTACCAAACATAATATAGTAGGTTTTGCCAGTGTTAAGTGTAAGTTTATTGGCTATCATCCAAGTCAATATTTTGAGCAGCTCCTCGTTAACAATGGTGTTGAGGGTGGCAAGATAAGGCTCCAACTTCATCCTGTTCCCTACTTGTATGTCTCATAACAATAAAAATGCTTTCAAATGAGCTGATGTAGGTAACAGCTCTTAGCTTGCCAATAAAGATAGGAATCCTTAACCTGTAAATAGCTTGTCAATAAAGCTAGGGATCCTTAACCTTGTCAAACTCTGTGTAAAAAAAAAAAAAAAAAAAAAAGATGACATAAGTCATGTCGTCAGCAAAGAGAATGGGTTTCAGGTGTTGGGATATGTTTGGAAGATCATTGATGTAAATGAGGAAGAGCAGGGGTCCAAGGGCACTTCCCTGTGGAACTCCATTATCAAGTGGCCGTATTGATGAGGCTGTGTCTTTAATGGTGACATACTGATACCTATTAGAAAGGTAAGATTTAAAATATGCAAGTGCATATTATTATTATTATTATTATTATTATTATCATAATAGGAAAGGGAGGGGGTGTGTGGACCAGGTGTTTACAGTGAAACATATAAGTGAATAGTATTTAGATAAGGCTAAGAGGTCTTTGTGGCATTTATGGATTTGGAAAAGGCATATGACAGGGTGGATAGGGGGGCAATATGGCAGATGCTGCATGTGTATGGTATAGTAGGTTACTGAAAGCAGTGAAGAGTTTTTACGAGGATAGTGAGGCTCAAGTTAGAGTATGTAGGAAAGAAGGAGATTATTTCCAAGTAAAAGTAGGCCTTAGACAAGGATGTGTGATGTCACCGTGGTTGTTTAATATATTTATAGATGGGATTGTAAGAGAAGTAAATGCGAGGGTCTTGGCAAGAGGCGTGGAGTTAAAAGATAAAGAATCTAACACAAAGTAGGAGTTGTCACAGTTGCTCTTTGCTGATGACACTGTGCTCTTGGGAGGTTCTGAAGAGAAGTTGCAGAGGTTGGTGGATGAATTTGGTAGGGTATGTAAAAGAAGAAAATTAAAAGTGAATACAGGAAAGAGTAAGGTTATGAGGATAACAAAAAGATTAGGTGATGAAAGATTGGATATCAGACTGGAGGGAGAGACTATGGAGGAGGTGAATGTATTCAGATATGTATTTGGGAGTGGATGTGTCAGCGGATGGGTCTATGAAAGATGAGGTGGATCATAGAATTGATGAGGGGAAAAGGGTGAGCGATGCACTTAGGAGTCTGTGGAGACAAAGAACTTTGTCCTTGGAGGCAAAGAGGGGAATGTACAAGAGTATAGTTTTACCAACGCTCTTATATGGGTGTGAAGCATGGGTGATGAATGTTGCAGCGAGGAGAAGGCTGGAGGCAGTGGAGATGTCATGTCTGAGGGCAATGTGTGGTGTGAATGTAATGCAGAGAATTCATAGTTGGTAAGTTAGGAGGAGGTGCAGGATTGCCAAAACTGTTGTCCAGAGGGCTGAGGAAGGGTTGTTGAGGTGGTTCGGACATGTAGAGAGAATGGAGCGAAACAGAATGACTTCAAGAGTGTATCAGTCTGTAGTGGAAGGAAGGCGGGGCAGGGGTCGGCCTAGGAAAGGTTGGAGGGAGGGGGTAAAGGAGGTTTTGTGTGCGAGGGGCTTGGACTTCCAGCAGGCATGCGTGAGCGTGTTTGATAGGAGTGAATGGAGACAAATGGTTTTTAATACTTGACGTGCTGTTGGAGTGTGAGCAAAGTAACATTTATGAATTGGTTCAGGGAAACCGGCAGGCCGGACTCGAGTCCTGGAGATGGGAAGTACAGTGCCTGCACTCTGAAGGAGGGGTGTTAATGTTGCAGTTTAAAAACTGTAGTGTAAAGCACCCTTCTGGCAAGACAGTGATGGAGTGAATGATGGTGAAAGTTTTTCTTTTTCGGGCCACCCTGCCTTGGTGGGAATTGGCCAGTGTGTTAATAAAAAAAAATAATAAATATCATAATAAAAAAATGCTAAACCCACAAGGGTCATAAATTGCTATATATAAAGTGAAGGCATACGAAAGGAATATTTTTCTACAGTTATCCTCCAGTGTTTGACTAGAGAAAACATAATTCTTCCGACACTACCTACACAGCCGCTTTGTAAATAAATCTCATATTTACGTCAATTTTTATTCTGTGAGTGTATGTATCATGTTTATATGCTACATAACATGTTTCTTATATAATTTTGAGGAAAATATCAATCATAGATGGATTAATGAAAATGTCTATATTAATGTAAAATAAGACATTTAATGTGCCCAAGAGTGATTATTATTACATAGTATTGGCGTCATGAGTAGAGAGACTCTTAGCGATTTTAATGTATACCAGCACACCAGCACAGTAAGTATATTTAGGTACAGGTACATAATTATAATTATCAGAGTACATATAAAATATGCATTAAGTTTAAAACGCTTGAAATTTTGGAAAGTTTCCAGACATAATAGATGTGGTCACGAAGAATGTAAACAAACCAGGTGGGGCATGCCATATTTAAAAGACCGCTTGCCATATAGCAAATTTTGGTCACAATTTGACATCGCCGTATTAGCGGAACGCCGTAAAGCAAAACGCCGTAAAGTGGGGCCCTACTGTATGAAAGAATACTATCACTCCCCCCCCAATGCAATCCACAAGTCAGTCTACATCTAGGTACAGTACCTGTTTAGTACTAAGTGATTATCATGGTATTATTACATTCATGATAGGGAAATGCTAAACCCACAGAGGCCATACAGTGCCAAGGAGAAAGATAAGATTATCAGACTTATTCCAAGGGAAGGGAGGATATGTTAAATTTTTTAGATCAAGAACCCCTTACTGGCATCAAGGCACCCATTCATCCCAGGTAAAGTAGTGCTAGGTGAACACAGGCAACTTTCTTAAATTCATGGAGACAGCACTAAACCCATAGGGTAATACAGTGCCTAGAGAAATGGAAGGCAATCAGGTTCTATCCAAAGAATGGGAAAGCCAGATCCAATTCTTTGAGGGGAAAATACAGGCAACAAGTATAGAGACACTTGTCCAAATGTCTCAGTGCACTTGGAAATTGAACTTGGGTTCCTTCAGGTGTGAGTTGAGCATTTGATTAGGCTACAGGTCAAAGTAAAGATAAGTGAAACTTATTACAGTATCTTATGTTGCTATCTAGAACTACCAAGTACCTGGTAACTTCAAATAGCTTTACTTTTTGCAATGGTAATATTCCAGCTAGGGCAGAATCCTAAAACAATGGTGCCCTGTGCTTCCACATAAATTGTCGATGGCTTTATACAGTAAATTAACCTGAATAACACTTGTGACATTTAAGAAGACACAGAGGAATAATTTCAGCTTGCACCAATAACATGCACCAGCCTAGGTCTTTTTCATTACACTATGCTTGTCCACATTTTTTAAGATGCGCATCTGATAGAAAAATGACAGGATGGATAATGAGAACCTTCAAAACTAGGGATGCCAAGCCCATGATGACACTCTTCAGGTCACTTGTTCTATCTAGGCTGGAATACTGCTGCACACTAACAGCACCTTTCAAGACAGGTGAAACTGCTGACCTAGAAACTGTACAGAGAACCTTCACAGCACACATAAGTGCAATAAAACACCTCAATTACTGGGAATGCTTGAAGTTCTTCAGCCTGTACTCCCTAGAACACAGGCAAGAGAGATATGTAATTATATACACTTGAAATAACAAAAAAAGGCACAATACCGTGACTGGAACGATACACAAATAACCTGCACATAAAAGAGAAGCTTACGACGACGTTTCGGTCCGACTTGGACCATTGACAAAGTCAATGGTCAAGTCGGACCGAAACGTCGTCGTAAGCTTCTCTCTTTTATGTGCGGGTTATTTGTGTACACTTGGAAAATCCTAAAGGGACTAGTACCAAACTTGCACACGAAAATCACTCCCTATGAAAGCAAAAGACTCAGCAGATGATGTAACATCCCCCCAATGAAAAGAAGGGGTGCCACTAGCACTATAAGACAACACAATAAGTGTCAGGGGCCCAAGACTGTTCAACTGCCTCCCAGCATACATAAAGGGGGTTATCAATAGACCCCTGGCTGTCTTCAAGAAGGCACTGGACAGGCACCTAAAGTCAGTACCTGACCAGCCGGGCTGTGGTTCGTACTTCAGGTTGCATGCTGCCAACAGTAACAGCCTGGTTGATCAGGCCCTGATGCACCATGAGGCCTGATAACAGACTGGGCCGCGGGGACGTTGACCCCCGAAACCCTATCCAGGTATACTCCAGGTATACTTGAGCTTGAGGGATTTTTGGAGGGATTTTTGGAGGGCTTATTTGAACATTATCAAAACAATACATAGCACTAGCCTGACCAGACCAACTATATGAATATGTAATATGGATGAGTTAGTCTAAGACAAACTGTAATGCATTTAAAATGCTAAAATCACTTACCATCTTTGTCAGTGGCAGACGTGCTTGCGTTGTGTTTCAACAAAAACTCTGCAATCTTAAACTGTCCATGTCGTGATGCACAGTGTAGTCCAGTTCTCTCTGTGGAAAATCATTTATTTAAGGCTTAAAAAATTACAGCACCAAGGAGGTAGCAATAAAATTGGTTAAGCTCTTCTTTCTGATACAGAGGTTTTGCAGACACAAGTCATTTAGCAACTACAGTGAAACCTCAACTTACGAGTTTAATCCATTCCGTGACCTAGTTCGTAACTCAACTTGATTGTATATATCAAATAAATTTTCCTTATTTAAATTAATTGAAATTCCATTAATCCGTTCCAGTGGAATTCCTGCTCTCGGGAGGCAGGACAAAATACGTACTTCAACATGACGCTAATATCAACTCTATGACATAATAAACAATAAAAATAACAGAAACATGAATGAATAAAATATGTCATTATGTGATGAGCGGTGGTGGCCATCGCCAGTCCCATATCTTCCCATTCTTCCCCTTCTGAAAACAGTTTTTGTGAAGCTAACTGCGCTATATCACTAGTTTCATAAGGAAAACACTGAAACAATGTGTTTATAAATAAGAAATATTGTATAAAAACCTAATAGAGAATGTAAAGAACATAAGAAAGAAGGAACACTGCAGCAGGCCTACTAGCCCATGCGAGGCAGATCCAAGTCTCCTACCGGCTTAAGCCAATGCACCCAACCTAGTCAGGTCAGGTCACAATCTCTTAAGGAAAGAACACAGCAACTGACCTAGTAGCACAAGCTAATCAGGTCGAACTCACACCCACCCACACCCACTCGTGTATTTATCTAACCTATTTTTAAAACTACACAACATTTCAGCCTCTATAGCGGTACTCAGAAGTTTGTTCCACTCATCCACAACTCTATTACCAAACCAGTGCTTTCCTATATCCTTGCTGAATCTGAACTTTTCCAACTTAAAACCATTGCTACGAGTCCTGTCTAGGCTAGATATTTTCAGCACATTATTTATATCCCCTTTATTTATTCCTGTCTTCCACTTATACACCTCAGTCATATCCCCCCTAATTCTACACCTTTCTAGAGAGTGCAGATTCAGGGCCCTCAGTCTATCCTCATAGGGAAGATTTCTGATACATGGTATCAACTGTCATCCTTCTTCGTATGTTTTCCAGAGCATTTATATCCATTCTGTAATACGGTGACCAAAACTGTGCAGCATAATCTAAATGAGGCCTAACCAAGGATACATAGAGTTGAAGAACAACCTGAGGACTCCTATTATTTATGCTTCTTGACATGAAGCCAAGGATTCTGTTAGCTTTATTACGAACACTTATGCATTGTTGTGTTGGTTTCAGATTACTGCTAACCAGAACTCCTAAATCTTTTTCACAATCCGTAATATTAAGATCTACATTATTTAGTTTATATGTGGCATGGCTATTTTCCTGTCCAACATTTAGAACTTTGCATTTGTCTATATTAAACTGCATCTGTCACTTCTCCGACCACTGCATCAGTCTATTCGAATCTTCCTGGAGTGCTCTAATGTCCTCGTCAGAATGAATTCGACGGCCTATTTTGGTGTCATCGACAAACCTGCTTATGTCGCTGTTTATGCCCTATCAATGTCGTTTATGTAGATTGTTAACCCTTTCAGGGTCCAAGGCCCAAATCTGGAGTCACGCACCAGTGTCCAAGAATTTTCAAAAAAAAAATTTGTTATTTTTTCTTATGAAATCGTAGAGAATCTTTTTGTGAAGGTAATAAAACAAAAAGTACGAAATTTGGTGGAAAATTGACGAAATTATGCTCTCGCGAATTTTGATGTGTCAGCGATATTTACGAATCGGCGATTTTGCCGACTTTGACTCCCATTTTAGGCCAATTACATTATTCCAATCAACCAAATTCTTAGCTATTTCACTAGTATTACTTCTATTCTATCGATTGAGCACAAGAAATCGCCAAGTCAACTGTTTCAACTACAAAATAAAGTGATCGGAAATTGTTAATTTGGCCAATTTAACACAAAGTTCAAAATATTCCAATTTCAAAATAGGGTCCAGAATGAACAATGTAGGCATTCCTGGCACTAAACTAACATTTCCTCTGTTCATTAGTTATGTTTTGAGGCTTTACAAATAAATTTCCATTTTGATTTTTTATTCACATAATGAATTTTTATTCACACCAAAAAATAGAAGATTTACTGTTATGCAATACTGTAATAATTGTATAAATATCATCACCAATTTGTGAATGTATATTAGACCCACCAGCTGGTGTGTATTAGACGTGTGAGGTCGTTTGTTTACTCTTGAATATCGGCAAAAATTTAACATTTCTGCTACTTTGAGCTCAGTTTCAAGCCATTTCCAGTGCTAAAACCAATCAAAATCATCTCTATTTCTGTAATATGTCTTCCATTCTATCAAATGAGACCAAGAAATCGCAAATACAACTATAAAAAACATACGAAAAAACACTGCAAAGTTGCTGTTTTAATCGAAAAATCATGATTTCATTTTTTTTCTCTCATTATACACAGTGTGCTGCAGGATCTGTTTTATGTGGTGCACACATACCACATAGATGTATTCTCTTATATCTAGGCCCAAATGTACCACTCACAGTTTATCAGAGTGAGCTGAGCTCATGGCGTAGATCTACGGTTTGGACCCTGAATGTAAAGCCGTAGATCTACGGGACGGCCCCTGAAAGGGTTAACAAGGGGCCCAACACTGACCCTTGTGGAACACCGCTCGTGACGCTTTCCCACTCTGATTTCTCCCCATTTATGCAAACTCTCTGCTGCCTATTTGTCAACCATGCCTCTATCCAGGAAAAAATTTCTCCTCCTATTCCATGTGCCTTAATTTTCCTCAATAGTCTCTGATGTGGGACCCTGTCAAAAGCCTTACTGAAGTCCATATACACAATATCATATTCATTACCATGATCTACCTCCTCAAATACCTTAGTGAAAAAAGTTAATAAATTCGTAAGGCAAGAACGCCCCTTTGTAAAACCATGCTGAGAATCGTTGATTAATTTATGCTTTTCAAGGTGGCTACGAACTGCCTCGGCAATTATCGATTCCATAAATTTTCCCACTATGGAGGTTAGGCTTATTGGTCTATAGTTTGAAGCTAAGGACCTGTCACCTGCTTTGAAAATAGGTATCACATTTGCCATTTTCCACTTATCTGGCACCATGCCAGTCTGTAGTGATATGTTGAAAAGATTAGCCAAAGGTTTGCTAAGCTCCTCTTTACACTCCTTTAGAACCCTTGCATACAGTTCATCAGGGCCTGGGATTTATTAGGTTTTAACTTATCTATTTGCCTAAGGACCATGTCACTTGTGACCCTAATCGTGCATAGTTTACCAGAGAGAAGAGATGGAGGGTGCAGGGTGGAAGATAGGCAGAGCGGCGTATGCTGTCAACGGCCTTCAACCCACAACCCGCACACCTCCACCTCGCTTGTGTTGAGTGTATAAATCTATAGTAGAGGGAAGGTGGGGTAAAGGTCAGCCTAGGAAAGGTTGGAGGGAGAGGGTAAAGGAGGTTTTGTGTGCGAGGGGCTTGGACCTGCAGCAAGCATGCGTGAGTGTGTTAGGAGCGAATGGAGACAAATGCCTTTTAGGACTTTACGTGCTGTTGGAGTGAGCAGGGTAATAGTTACGAAGGGATTCAGGTACTCAGGTAAAATCTGACAGACCAGATTTGAGTCTTGGAGATGGAAAGTACAGGAGGGGGTGTTAATGTTACAGTTTTATAACTGTAGTGTAAGCGCGCCTCTGGCAAGACAGTGATGGAGTGAATGATGGTGAAAGTTTTTTCGGGCCACCCTGCCTTAGTGGGAGATGGCCGATGTGTTAAAAAATGATGAAATTCATGACTGTATAAACAACTTACAATTTTTACCAGATCATTCTCGTTTTGCTATCAATGTATTGAGGCCTAGCCCCTGAATCCATTATGTGCCTCTATAATCTTCTGAATGCTGCCCAGAGAATGAGTACAGTGTACATAATAAATTAACATCTGATGTGCCTAGCTGGCAGAATAAAAGAAGAACATGCATCCCAGAAGAGTGACAGCAAATTCGTCTTCCTTTCTTTGTGTTGGGTGTATCAGGGCCACTGACAGCTTACGCAGTATCCAGCCCAACTTCCCGATGTTCGGGGAAGATTTGTTGCCCAAGGCTCGGCCGTGATTATATTTTTAGATTTTGCCACCGAAGTGGCTAGTTTATTGTGCACCCCATATCCATCCAGTGGACGGTAATGCAAGAGCATATGGATACACAAAAAGCCTAGGAACTAGGGCCCAAAAGGGTCAACAGGCGTACATTTGGATTTATATCTACATATCTATAGTTCACTTATCTGTTACAAACAAATTTAGGAAATTTGCTTAGTATATCTGGTATCTTTATTTTCATTAATAAGATATCTTGACATGTCACATAGGTTATTATACTGTCTATCTCTGTATTCCTCAATAAGTGGACAACTAAGCACATAGTAGCTATGAAAGAATAAGGAACAAGAGTTTCTTTGTAAATAGATACAGAAGCTAAAAGTTATCAATTAGATCTGGCGGACCACCTTGCCAAGCCCCAGCAGAGCTAGGTGACCAAACACTTACCTAAGTTCAGTATCCGGCTTCCCATTAAAAAATTATCCGTAGACAGGAAAAATGGAGCTGACTACAAATAAGCCGATGATAAGAGCTCCTCCTGCAAATGTGCCCGGCGGGCAAAGTAGATGAGGACAAGCGTCCCATAGAGAGCGGGGGAAATTTGTCACATACTCAGGAGAGAGCAAGACGTCCACAACTGACGAAGGCTGATGCAAACGTCTACTTGTTGAGTTTGTAAGGGCAGCTGACAGCTTACCCGTATTGAGCCTTGCTTCCTGATGAAAGGCAAAATTTTGTTCGGATTTCTAACTCGGGAGGGTTAGCCACCCAGGATATGTACCTTTGTAACCTTTTGACTGGTATAAACCTTGGTAATAAATACCGACAAGTTGGTTTAGAAAGACACGTAAGCAAACACTATAACATATTTATTAGAAAACGTGTAGAATCTTGTAGAATCTACAAGATTTTACACGTTTTCTAATAAATATGTTATAGTGTTTGCTTACGTGTCTTTGTAAACCAATCTTTTGACTACCGCCCACAGGATGGGTATGGGGTGCATAATAAAGATATTAAACTAAAGTGTGTGTGTGTGTGTGTGTGTGTGTGTGTGTGTGTGTGTGGTGTGTGTGTGTGTGTGTGTGTGTGTGTGTGTGTGTGTGTGTGTGTGTGTGTGTGTGTGTGTGTGTGGTGGTGTGTGTGACTCAACAATCAATATTTGCACCAATAACTCATTACAGTTGTGACCGGGTGTGGAAGTGTGAATTGCTCATTACTCTATAATTTGTTCATGATTGTAGCATGAATAAACGTAAGTAACCATTCTACAGAATGCATTACCTTTGTAACTTGTGAGCTCATTACCTTTGTACCTAGTTCAGCTATCAAAACTTTGGGGGCCCAGTCCCTGGACCCATTACGTACCTCTGTAATCTGTAAATACCTTTGTAACTTGTCATGATTGTGACCAGACCTACCTGGAGTTCATTACCTTTGTAAATTGTGAGTTCATTACCTTTGTAAATTGTGAGTTCATTACCTTTGTAAATTGTGAGTTCATTACCTCTGTAACTTGCTCAGCTATCAAAACTTTGGAGTCCAGTCCCTGGACCAATTATGTACCTCTGTAATCTTTTGACTACCGCCCACAGGATGGGTATGGGGTGCATAATAAACATATTAAACTAACTAAACTATCCCAAGAAAGCCAGTGCGTCATCGAGGACTGTCTGACTTATTTCCAGTGGGATATTTCAATCTAGTCCCCCAGGATGCGACCCACACCAGTTGAATAACACTCAGGTGCCTACTTAATGCTAGGTGAACAGGGAAGGCAGGTGTAAGGTGACTAACACCCAGGTACCTACTTACTGCTAAGCGAAGAGGAACAGCAGGTGTAAGGTGACTAACACCCAAGATCAAATCAAATCAAATCAAATCAAGTTTATTCTCTATAAGGGTTACAATGTGGGGTTTACAGGATTTGGATATTGTGTGGTTTACATGTTATAAAATACTAATTACAGAGGGAGCCACTAGGACACCTAGCATGGCTAGGCATTTCGGGCAGACTTAAATTAATTCTCAACATTAATTCCTTACAGATTATGGCATTAAGGCTAGGTGACTACATTATAATTTGTGAGTTTAGCAATGTGAATGCTTTTGTTTTAGCACAATACAAAGTGTCTATATTGGAGTATCATAGGCAAACTTATGACTAGTTAGGATTCATTATTTTAAGATTACGATTAGTATTTCTGTGTTTATAGTCAGTGGATGAGTGAGTGTAATTGTGAACCACCAGGTGGTTATCATGTAGTTAGTTGTCGGGGTGTATCAGGGAGATAAGATGTTTTCTAACTGTAGTTTTGAAAGTGATGAGTGTGTCTGCAGTTCTAGAGTTTTCAGGTAGGGTGTTCCAGATTTTAGGTCCTTTGAAATACATTGAATTTTTGTAAAGGTTTAGTCGGACACGGGGAATGTCATAGAGATGTTTGTGTCTGGTGTTACGCCTGTGGATCCTGTCACAACTATCAAGAAAGCGTTTTAGGTCAAGGTTAATATTGGAATTTAAGGTCCTGTAGATATAGATTGCACAGTAGTAAGTGTGGATGTTCTGAACAGGGAGTAAGTTTAGATCTATAACAGCACCTTTCAAGGCAGGTGAAATTGCCGACCTAGAAAATGTACAGAGAACTTTCACGGCGCGCATAACGGAGATAAAACACCTCAATTACTGGGAGCGCTTGAGGTTTCTAAACCTGTATTCCCTGGAACGCAGGAGGGAGAGATACATGATTATATACACCTGGAAAATCCTAGAGGGACTAGTACCGAACTTGCACACGAAAATCACTCACTACGAAAGCAAAAGACTTGGCAGACGATGCACCATCCCCCCAATGAAAAGCAGGGGTGTCACTAGCACGTTAAGAGACCATACAATAAGTGTCAGGAGCCCGAGACTGTTCAACTGCCTCCCAGCACACATAAGGGGGATTACCAACAGACCCCTGGCAGTCTTCAAGCTGGCACTGGACAAGCACCTAAAGTCAGTTCCTGATCAGCCGGGCTGTGGCTCGTACGTTGGTTTGCGTGCAGCCAGCAGCAACAGCCTGGTTGATCAGGCGCTGATCCACCAGGAGGCCTGGTCACAGACCGGGCCGCGGGGGCGTTGACCCCCGAAACTCTCTCCAGGTAAACTCCAGTGGGGGGGGTGTTGCCAGGGGTGGGATTTAGTGATTATTCTTACTGCGGCTTTTTGTTGGACTATTATTGGCTTTAGGTGTGTTGCTGCAGTTGAACCCCAAGCACAGATAGCATAGGTGAGGTATGGATATATAAGTGAATGGTATAGTGTGAGAAGGGCAGTTTGCGGCACGTAGTATCGTATCTTGGAGAGGATCCCCCTACCTACTTACTGCTAAGTGAACAAGAACAGCAGGTATAAGGCGACTAACACCCACGTACCTACTTACTGCTATGTGAACAGGGACAGCAAGTGTAAGGAAACACGACAGTTTCCACATTTGTTCGGATTTTTAACCCCCGAAGGGTTTTCCACCCAGGATAACCCAAGAAAGGCTGTGCGACATCGAGGGACTGTCTGCCTTATTTCCACCTGGGTCCTCAATCTTGTCCCCCAAGATGTGACACACACCAGTCGACTAACACCAAGGTACCTACTTGCTTGCTAGGTGAACGAGACAACAGATGTAAGGAAACACGCCTGTTTCCAACCCTGCCTGGGATCGAACCATGGACACTTAACGTTGCCTACCAGACCACGAGCCACGAGTAAGAGATGTTGCCCAAAACAGCGATGAAAGATAAGGAACAGAAGTTCCCTTTGCAAATAGAAAAAGAAACCAGAAATTCCCAAGAAGGCCAAGTGGACCCCTCTTACCAAGCCCCATCAGAGTGGGAAGCCACACTCCAACCTGAGTTCAGTAGCCAGCTTCCCACCACAACAGTTAAAAAAAAAATCAATGGCGACAACAAGGAGCTGATGAATGGTATCCCTCCAGTAATGTGCCCAGCGAGCAAAACAAGATGATGACAAGCGTCCCAGAGAGAATGGGATAAATTTGTCACAGATCCCAGGCGAAAGCAAGACGCCCACACACCACTAAGTCCCCAAGCTGGGCAAGTAGGGAAAGGACAAAGGATTCCCCTTTGCAAAAGAAACAGGAACAAACAGTTCCCAATTTGCCGGGTCACCAACTGGACAAGACCCGGGTCGGGACAATACCGGCGAACCACATCGAATCGAATCGTTCCAAATTAGGGTTAGAAGGAACCCCTCTCCCCCCTTTTCCTTAGAAACCCCTTAGAGCGAGACACCTACACCTTAAGTAAGTTTATTCAAGTACAGGTACACATAAATACAGTTACACAGATTATCATACATAGTAGCATATGTGTAGATTACCTAGGATAACACGGAAAAAAATCAAAATGACTTGTTTCCATTGGTTCTTGAGTACAGTAACCGGTTTCCCACCAAAACCGTTATGTAAATATCCCCCAGCGGAATTATAGATCTGATAAATGGCGACCGTCCTGTAATGTGCCCTAGTCTTCTCCCACCCAAACCCAGTCATACTCGCCAACATTATCAGTGCCGAATTGCAGAAAATATCTGCCTGGATGGTGACTAATAAACTTACCCTGAATACTGACAAAACCCATTTCATTCAGTTTAGAAACAGAGCTGCAAATATTCCACTTAACTCTAAACGGATCACTCATCAGAAGACTCGCAGTCTTGACGAGCCAGGTGGCCCTCCTTGCCCCAGCAGGCATGTGACACTACCAAACTATGTTTTTTAATTACATTACCTAATAAAATACTCCATTTTTCTACATTTTCTTGAATGCACAGTAACTCATCTAATGACCATATAACCTATTTCTGCACTACAAATCATTGATTTTATTCGATTTGATCGGATTAATAAATTGTATGACTTTGTTTAGTATACTGATCATTTTGTTATATTATACGTTTTTATGCTACAAATTGTACAACTGTAATGCTTCTTAATTGAAATGTTCAAATTTCATATTTAAAATACTCATTTGTACTTCATGTTGTAATTTGTTTACTTTAATTTTTACCACTGAATATCATTGCTTATAATCTTTAGCTAATTTTAAGCCTGTCCATAATGCTCTGCATACAAGGAGCTTTTGTCATGTGCACCCAACCACTTTATTTCCTTGTACAACTATGTATCATGTTAAAATAAAAGTTATTATTATTATTATTATTATTATTATTATTATTATTATTATTATTATTATTATTATTATAACTAAGCGCTAAACCCAGCAGGTATTAAACTAATATAGTACCAGTTAACTACTATATTTGTCTCCATCTAAGTCAATTTAAAGGCAACCTGAAATGCTCTGCATATGAAAGTTGTTTGTTAATTAATATCTGGTTATCAATTTAATATTCGGGTCTCAGAATCTGAGACTCGGATACATATTTATTGATTTTATTTTTACATGATACATAGTTGTACAAAGAAATACAGTGGGTGGATGTACATGCCAAAAGTGCCTTGTATGCAGAGCATTATAGGCAGCTTAAAATTAACTTCAGATTAACTAAGCAGTGATATATTCAGTGGTAAAAATTACAGTAAACAAATTACAACATGAAGTACAAATGAGTATTTCAGATAAGAAGCATTACAGTTGTACAGGTTTGTAGCACAAGAATATATTCACA